TGAAATGTCTGTAATTAATGATTTTTTCATATTGCCATAATTTTAATACTTCTTATAATACATCAGTTTCCACCTTTTGAATAATTTCAATCTCTACCAAGAGGTAATCTTATATCATCACAAGTTTTCTTGCCAAATAGTAACATTGTATTCTCGTTTTCGTAGGATTGACTTGAATTTGTATTTTCTGAAATATATATTTTCTCACACATTGTGACAAGAATCTTTACTAGCTTTATCATATCAAGTCTTAAGGAAAATTATTTTTAATAAAGAATTAGTTTATTTAGTTTTAGTAGAGTAGTTTTATAAAAAAAACTGTAAAGAGAGACACACAAAGTGATATCAGTTGTATTTTTAGTTTGTTATAGCTTTGTTCTACTTTTCCTACATTACAAATTTCATGTAAAACAGTTTAGGACTAAAAACTAAATTATGAATTGTTGTGCCTGAAGTGTCATATTAAATGAAATATAGTTAAAAAAAACAAAGAAACTGAAATTAAGATTAGTTTCATGAAAATAATTGATTAGTTGAATGCAATAAATTAATGAGCCTGATGATTAATCTATTAGAAAATTCCACTAATCTCCCAGTTCTAATTAACATATTCAGGATAAGTTAGGGTAGGTAATAAGAATTAAATCTTATTTTTTATTGAACATTATTACACTGCACTGTAGCATGCCATCATCAAAATAGAGAATGTTTTCATGCATTCCATCGAATAAAGAACCAAGTTTATTTGTTTCATATATGTTCTTTTAGCAAATATTAATTTTTTTCCCTCACTTCTTATAGCACATTTACTTCCTATAAGGCTGAAGCCCTTGTTTCTAATATGCAGTTGCCTAAATGGACTTTCAATTGAAATACACTAGGGAAATAGTAATTGTAACTGATTTATGTGCACAGTGCCAAATCCTTTTCTTAATAATGTTATGTAGTTTTATAGAATTATCACTCATTAAACATACATCAGTTATGTGTTTTTGATACAAACCACCAACATTCAAATTGATAAAATAATAATTTTCAAATCAAACAAACCAAATTAACAGTATAAAGAATTAGGACCAATTAGGAGAGGGGGCCAGAAGGGCCATTTGGCTTGGGCCTCAAGCTCAAAGGGGGGCCTCAAATTTATACACAGAAAAAGGCTAGAAAAACATTCATTAAATGTTAAATAATGTTAATAAATATATGTTAAATAAAAAAATATTCAAATTATGTTTCACTTTTTTGGGGGCTTATGATTGTCTTATTTTGTTTTCATGTGTCATCATTTTTTTTTTATTATAGCCATGGGCCTCAAAAGATAGAAGTGGCTCGGGCCTCTCTGAACCTCTGAGAGGGCCTGTAAAGAATATAAGGTGTTGATTTTTTTGGTTTTACAGTAATATGTAGGTATTGATGGACTTGAGAAGTCTTGAGTCGTAGTGAAAGTATATGTTTTTGAATTGTATAATAGTATACACAGTGCTATACTTTTAGTATGGTAGTTTTATCCAACAAGATAAATTAAGCTCTATATTTTCAAACACTTCATAGTCATCATATTATTTTAAGGTATTACACAACCTGCACAGTATCATGATCCTTTTTAACAGTTTGTTTTAAAAATGTCACAGTTGAATCTTTCCACAGAGTATTTAACTATTTGCGAGAATTTTGAAGAGAACACTTCCTGGTCATAACATGTGAAAGCATGGTATGAGAGTCTTGTTAACATCTACGCATTAAACTCCTTCTCAATCCTTAGCAATGGCATCATGTGAGATTCATGTTGCCAAAACTAATGAGACTACACTTAGTCAATCATTGTTATGTTATGGTTTGAGAGCATTGTTAGAGGTCAATAGTTTGAGAAACTGTTACTCCAAAGAAGGATAGTAATATAGTTCCCATCAATAAACTGAAACAAACATTGCTATAAAAAAAGTTTTAAATATTGTATTGTGGGAAAACAAAAAGTGAAATTTATACAAAAATAATGAGAAGAAACATCTATATAAGAAAATCCAAACTCTTGTTTGTAATGCTCCCTTTGTTGGTAATGCTCAAATCTCTTTTGGTAACATTCAGATTGGCTCAGTGGTTTGTTTCAAGTGGAAGTCTTGTGAAATACCACCTGAGTGGAGATTTTTTATAACTTTTTTTTTAATTATTAATTCTTTATGTTTAGAGAAGGATACTACATTATTAAAAAAAACACTAACATTGTACTTTACATTAGGGATTTGAATTGGTTGTTAACATTTGATTACGAAGTTTGGGGGTTACAGTGGTTATGGTACCCATGATAGTGGAAGTCTTGAGTTCATATCCCAGTAGAGTCAGGATTTTATGTTAAATTATTTTATTATTATATCTATTTCTTTATATATTTATTATCATATTTACAACAAGTTTTTTGAATATTTGGAAAAATATGAATACAAATATATATTAAGTAAGGGATAATGTCATATTACATAATAAACACAAGTGACTGTATGTGTCAAAAAACTTTAAATGTCTTTTCAACACAATAGATGGTGCTACAATAAATTATTGATATATTTTACCTTCGGTAATAGAGATTTTTAAAATTTTTGTCAAAATATTTATAAATATTTTTAAAGAAAAGTCCTACGTTCATGTATTTGCCCTTCACTATAAAATTCATTGCCTTTACAATCACGATTAATAAATTGCAGGGTCACACAGTTGATGATGTATGACTATTTCTTCAAGAACCAGTTTTTTTCTCATGGTTCAATCTGTAAGGCTTTATCAAGAAGAACATTTGAACATAACCTAAAAATATATATAAATCAAAATTGCAATGAAGAACAACTTAGAGGAGATGACCATTTATATCCATATAAAAATATTGTTTTCGTGAAATACTAGAAAAGGACAGATATTCTCCATACATATATTGTTACTACAATATAATTAGTTTTATGAAACATTTTCATAAAGCATTCACCATCATATGATGGGCATTTATCTAGTAAAATATATTACCCACTAAGTGCTTGTTGGCAAAAATTATTATAATGATAGAATAAAAACACAATTTCTTTTAACAAATTTCAACATAACTGTTACGATAACTACGATGCCAACTTTTTGCCTGATATAATTTAAAGCTAGTTTCAATAATAGTCATGTTCTTTGGATGGATTCGTGATGAAACTCTTTCATGGGAATAACTTTAGATGGTAGTTTGTTCCATGGATTAACAATCTATTGGAGAAATAACTTCCTCAACTGGTGATGTTTTTAACTTATTCAAACCTTAAGTTATGTCCTATTGTTCTCAGAATTCAACACAAAAGAAATCTGATGCAAATTTCTTATCAGTTCCCTCAACAATTCTGAATACATCATTCACTCAGATCACCCCTGACCTTTTTCTTTAAAAGAGAGAATAGTAGTCCTCCTCTGAACTCTCCAACAGTTTAAGTCTTTCCAAAGATTAAAGGACAAACACTGAAGTGTGTGTGGTATAACTATTATGTAAATTATGAAAATAGGTCCTGATAGGCAAACAAATTTTGATTGTTGTGAGAGGTCATCTCACTTGCTGCTACTACTGAATGTGATTAATTAAAACTACTTAGGTATTTAAGTTTTTCTTTGAACGAATTTCAAGAAAATAAAAAATACATAATTAATTATTGTAATTTACTCAAGTGCTTCATTAGAGGCTTTTAGTGACATCTTCTTTTGTTTGTATAATTTTTTCTAAATATTTTAGTACATATAATTAGTAATCATTAATTGCCTATTCCTGTGTACATTCTGTTATAGCCAAATCCACAAGAATAGGCTTTGAGAAGTCAAAAAGAGTTTGTTGAAAAATATAAATTTGAAGATATTCAAGAGACAGATAGGCCTGAATTGAGTAACAGAAACTATAGCTCAAGCTGTATCATGTTACCGTATTACCTTGTATCACATGACTGGCTGTTTTTGCTTTAACAATTAATGGATGATTTTACATTTATTTTTGATTGTTGTTTTTTATGTTTCATTCAGATTGTATATACTTTTATGAGACTTAGAAGAAAATGACAAATTGGTTTAGTTCATAAAAAGACGTTAATTGTAAAGAAAATGTTTTATATTAATTTGAGCATTTTTTATAATATCTCTCTAGTTATAAAAACATTAAGAAAATTAACACATAAAAAAAAATCAAGAATTTGTAGTGATCCAGAAATGTCTTGCAGCTAAGTTTATATGTAACAATATGATATGCAGGCAGGTGTTTTTAACTGTTTTTGATTATATATGAATTTAAAAATTTTTGTTTAGTTTGTATGCAATTTTAGCATAAAAATGTGGTCCAGAAAGTCATTGAAATTACCTTGTTCTAGTTCTTTTATTCCTTTGTACTCTGGTTTGAATCCCTGTCCCAACAAACATGCTTGCCCTTTCAGCTGTTGGGCCATTATAATGTGATGGTCAATCCCACTATTTGTTGTAAAAAAGTAGCCCAAGAATTGGCAGTGGTTGGTGGTGACTAGCTGCCTTCCCTGTAGTCTTTCATTACTAAATTAGGGATGGCTAGTGCAGATAGCCTTCATGTAGCTTTGTGCAAAATTCAAAACAAACCTTTGTACTCTATAACAGATAATGTCTATTCTGCCGTAGAGGTTACTGTCGTAACATTTATCATCCAGGTTAAAAAAATAAGTGTTTCTGATATCCTTTGTTGGCTGAGTTGATATCATCTGAATATTACACCTAACCAGTGCTGTAAGAGAACATAGGTCACAAGGTGATGCTGTAGACTGGACAAAGAAAGCGTGTTTACCTGTTAAATTCAATCACATTTTTACTTCAGTCATACTTGGTTTTTGTTATAACAAGCTGATAATTGTAGGGAAATCAGTTCTGAAAATACTACAGCAATAAACAAGTTATCTTTTAATATATTTTTGAACATTTTGCTGTGCCTAGACTCGTTCCATCTTGGATTAATAAATTGTGTTATATACTTTCAGTCGAGTGACCCTAGCAGTGATGGACCTCCTTCACCCTCTCCCATTAGTGGACTGAATGCCCCAAAATTTGGAACTTTGATACCCAACAGAATATTTGTGGGTGGAATTTCTCCAAGTGTAAGCATGTTGATTTGTCTTGTGGAAAAGTATCTACTCATGTAAATGTTTATTGTTGGTATTTAGATGTTTTTGAAATTATTTGTATATGAGAAATACCTCAGGTATTCAATGTACACGTATTTTGATATTGTAGTACCTGAAAATGACATTGTGTATATTGTTAAGGTGAATGTTAAAGAAATTAAAGTTTTGTGACTGTCTAAATGTATGTAATAGTAAGTAGTATTTTAGATAACATCTGTATGGTAACCAACTTTTTTAGAACTTATGTGGTCTACTAATAATTCTTTGTCCTTTTTTTTCATTGAAAGAAATAAAACAAAAACTTTAAAATATTGTTCATGTCTTAAAACTTGTTTATTGTTCGATATAAGGAGCATGATATTTATGGATTCCAATTTTTCATCAGGTTAACCTGGCATCATCAGGTACAACAACTGCAAGTTCATGTCTGTTTTTTAATAAAAAACGTGTTTTACATGAATTAATTGTTTGATTTATATGTTTTGATGGTACAGCAATATTTTAATCAAATTATGCATGATATGCTTATTTTTTTGCATACCATACTACAGTAATGTGTACCTGTACCTTGATGTGTGTGAAGATAGAGGCATGCCATACTATATAACTTTGGACTTTATTTGCTGCTGCACAAAAGAGCTAAAGGTGTCTTGCTTCAGGTTTTAAATTGTTTTAAATTTGAAACATTTGTACTGATGGATTATTGCTATAAATCACTGTATGCTGGATTATGAAAAAACAACAAAAAACAGTACTATATTTTATATCTAGGATTACCATAACCTTTAACCTCATTATTTTGGATTTTTTTTCACTTGTCTTCACGAAAACCTTTTGAAAATGACACATTGGGGGAAGACAAGTTCATGACTTGTGTATGTTTATGGATTATTTATTAAGACCATGCAATTTGTAAAAGTTTTTATATGGTACAGTATGAGGTGTTAACCCTTTTGGATTACTTCAACAAAGGTTTATGAGGGTTTAATCAAGTACACATATGTAGATGTTGCACTGATAAAATTCATTTCACTCTATGCTATAATTAGGTATTGACTAATACAAATAAGTATCAGTTTGGAATATATAAAAGCACATTACTGTATGATGTAGTTTTGTATTGATGTACATGCAATTATGTGACAATGCAGTACTTTAAGAAACTAGAAAAAAAAAAAAAACGAACCGGAAAACCTTTATCTCAATGACATACACACATTTATTTGGAAGTTCCAATTCTTTTGTTTGGGTTAGTCAGGAACAAGTGAATGATTTTTGTAGTATATTCACCAGTAGTATATTTTGTAGTATATTATTATGAACTGTATGGATAAAACTTTTTAGTATTGCTGTGAGTGAGATTATTTTATCACATGTATGCAGTATTGCTAGGTTAGTTTTATTGCAGGTTCATGTAAAATAACTTATAGAATCTAGTTTGATTAGTGTTATTTATTGGTTTTTGACAGTCTCTGTTTGAAAGAAATATTTCTCTGTAACTGTTTGTAATCTTTCTTGGTTTTGCAATACGCAAAGAGATGATACCAAATGTAAAAAAATATGTACTTGTATTTGTATAAATGTATTTTTACTCAGGATTAAATAAAATTTCTTTGATATAGTAGATTTGAGCTTCAATTGTAGGTCTATTAATTAAGTTTATATAGCTGCTGGACTTTTTACACATCAAATAATGTAAAAGAGTGAGATGCAGAACCTGTAACTGTGATCTCAGATCACTTCATTAGTTCAAACAATAAGTTATTGTCTCCAAATATTTATTTGTTCCCATTTTTAACATAGTTTTGTTTTAACAAGTGAAGTGATATTCAGACCCAAAATTTTCTTGTAATTGTACCTGTTAGTGCACTGATGAAAATAATGTAATATTTTTATTTTAGACAACAGAAGCAGAACTTCATGCACTATTCTCAAACTACGGAAATGTCAAGGCCACAAAAATCATAGCAGATCGAGCAGGTGTATCAAAAGGGTAATTGCATTTTCATTACTGTTGATATAATGTAGGAATACAAAAAGCTGTTATAAAGAAATATTAGTCTGTTCACCTATTTTTATTGTTTTCTTTTGTAAGCTGTTTGTAGACTTTGTCCACTAAATGTTATTGTAAAAAAAATCATTTGGTTATGAAAATCTTTGGGTTGGAAGGAATGACAAACCATAGTGAAAAAATACTTTGTATTTAGTGATACAGGAAAAAAGTTTTAGCAATATATTGTATATTATGTCTTTCAATTAACATAAGATACTAGGCAATAATTACACACAAAAAAATATTTAACTATAGAATTTTTTTACAATTGTTGTAAGCTATATTTTCAATGTTTTAATTTAGATGTTCGCCAAAGGGAGCTAATGATGGTGATTTAGTCATCTAGAATTTCATGAAGTATGTGGAAACAAGATTTTCTAGAATTTCCTTGCTCATAAGTTATGATAACTCTCACTTCTAACAATGAATAACTAACTCACTGATTACTCATTACTTTGTAATCAACTCTAACTGCTCATTCATTATTCACTGATTCTCGTATTTATACCATACCCTTATTTCTACATTTGCATCATCATTAGCTCCCTCTATCAAACATTAAAAATGTAGTTTACCTTAGAATATATGGTCTGACCCACTAGTTATGCTATGTGACAAGTACATGTACTAGCTTTTGTTGTAATAAAGACTGGATTTTTGGTTGTTTCTTGTTTAAAAAGTGCATACAGAGTTTGTACACTGTTCTTTATATGTCTTTTCAAAAATAAACGTTCTTACAGTGTAGTGATTGCATATCTGATGAGAGTAAAAACTTAAAAATTATAAGAATACCCACCAGTTACCTTAGGCTTAATTGGAGATAATTTTTATCTTGAATTTGTGTAGCACTTGTAATTCTTATTCCAAAACTTACTTATCTGCTCTCCCACTTTTAGTTATCTAGTTATTACTCGACTGCTAAGGTTTTTTTTTTTTTTACCCATCTAAGCATAGGTCTGAATTTTTTCTTGCTTGCTCCAGTCTTTTATACCCCACTTGATTGGGGGGGGGAGTCATTCTTGGTTGAGACTGTCATTGATCTTATTCGTAGTGAGATGGGGAGACATATATTCAATTCTGTGGTGATCCTCTGGGGGGCTCTGAAGCCACAATTGAGGGCAATCCTTGACATTCTGGAGAGAATTTTGATTAGCTTTTTCCTTTGCCTTCTTTTAGTGTGTTGGCTTTTCTAGTCTGTTTGGCAGATAGCCCAACATTGCTTTGCTCTAACACAACAAATTTATCTGACAAAATATTGTTCCAATCAACTGTAATCAACACACTCTTTAAATGACCTATCAAAAATAAACAGGAGGCCACTTTGGGATAAACTGCCTTTGACTTGTTTTCTTCTGTTGATTCATTGAGAGTGTGATGTTTTGGGTCTTTTCCTGGTTCCTTTTGAGCCTACACATTATTTGATGGCTGAAAGGTCTGGGAGCACATTTTTAGTTTTTTTCTCCATCCATGGATATTGTGGTTCATGCTAGAAGGAATACATCTCAGTTACGTGAAGGGGCAGTTATGCCGTACTCGACATGTTGTCGGAACTGTGTGATTTAGCCTACCACTGCTAGGTGGAAGCATTTTCTGACTCTCAAATAATATATCTGCTCCTCGAATTTTGGGGTTCTAAGGCAGAGTTTGTGGTTAAACTGAATAAATCAATGCCCCCTAATGGGACAGAGTAAGTCTACGGAGTTACAACTCTAAAATCCAACATTTGGTTTTCCTTTCCTTTCACTTCACTTTATTGGATGATTCTCAGGATCACCAATTTCATTGATGACTAGCTGAATCCATTGTTAGGATGCATGTTAGTTAAATTTTTGGCTCCCTGTAGTTGTTGGAGTCCCGAATTTCATTGGCTCCTATAGGGGGTCATAGTTCTGCCCCTATTCGTGGGTCCCGACATCAGCCCCTTGGTACATTGGTACCCAGAATAGATTCTGTCTATATACAAGAGTTCCGCTGCTTGGCCGGATTGCCACCAGTGACATTGGTGATTATTGTGTACCTTCAGGGTCTGTGGGGAATTGACTCCGATAATTTCTGGACATGTGTTAACCTTGATTACGGATCAAGGAGCACTGCAGGTCCTTGAGTTAGGATTAGTCATTCAGTTCACATCTTCACCACTGTTATTCACCCAACCTGTAGGGTTTCTGTCTCCCACAGATCATTGGGATTTGAAACTTAGTTCCAGGGCTATAAGAGTTTGGTTGGTCAGGGAGTAGTGCAAGAGTTGTGTAAGGTATTCAGAAGTTTTATTCCTGTCAGTTATTGAGCCTATGCAGACAGGAGATTAGTATTCAGTCATCAACCTTCTCATCTATATCAATGCCTAGATTCTTCAAGGTTCACAAGTTACTCATTCCTCAATCTGAGTTGACATTTTTTACTGGGATTGCAGATGTCCAAGTTTGTTGTAGTCGACTCTTACCTGCACAGTGCCATAGTGGTGGAGTTCCACCACTATTGGCATTTGTTGTGCACAAGGGTCAGATACTAAGTTACAGATTTTTAACCTTCAGACTCGCCTTCAGCTTCACAAAGGTACTGCTGTATGTTATGAGTTTCTTCTCATCACCTCCATTCCATCGCACTGTGCACACATAATTGCATGGATGACTGGTTACTGCTGGCACCATCTTGTCAATTGTCAGACCATCACATCCTGATTCTTCTTTCAGAAACAACCAAAACAGGCTTCATTTTCAGGGCAGAAACGTCTATTCATGCTCCAATTCCATATGTCTTGGTATTTTTCATCCCGTCTCTCAGTCAGGCTCAGCTGTCTCCCATCCAGCTCAACACTTTTGAATAGGTCGGCCGACTTTTACTCACCTCTCCTTCTCCCACTGCACAGATAGTTCTTTCTCTTCTGGGAATGTGGGCATCACTCGCATCCCTCATGCCTTTGGGACGAGACCACAAGAGATCCTTGTAATGGTCTTTATGCAACCAAGAGATCATAAACATTGATTCACTGATTCCCCAGTTTCTTTAGTTGCAATAATTTTTCAATCTCTAGGGATTGTTAAGTCGGGACACTATTACGAAATGGGTTCCTCTACTGCTATCTCGTCCATCTCTTCACAAATGCCTTGCTTCAGGTATGGGTTGCATATACCAACAGTCAGTAATCTCAGGGTCTATGCGCAGTTGAAGAGGCATCCCTACACAATATTTTTGTCCTACTTGCTCTTCAACAGATAGTGCCTCGTGGTCTCAGTTTATTAAGGGGAAAGTTGTCAGGCTTCACTCTGAAAATTCCATGGTGTTATCTTGTGTTTCTCATTGAGGTGGCATTTGGACCAGGGCTCCTTGTTTTCAAATTTTGGATTTCATTTTTTTGTGACTATTCCTATCTTATCACCTACTAGCTTGCCATGTTCCACGGGTGATTCCTGCAGTAGCAGGTCAATTGTATCAATCCAAACAGATTCTCCCAACAAAATAGATACTGCATTGCAAGTTCTGTTGGATTGGCTCCCATTTTGTAACTCTGATTGGTGGGTCGGCCTCTCATTGGATCACCCAACTACTGGCAATTTGGTCTCCAGTACCTCATCTTTGGGCTTTGGCAATGGATTCATTCCATCAGGATAGGATAGGATTACAACTCTTGGCCTTCCCTCCACTTCATATGTTATTCAGGGCACTAAATATGATTTGTTCCAACTCATTGTCGGGTCCTGTTGATAGCATCAGTGTTGGTTCAGTACATTGTCTCCTTGTAATTCTGAATGCGGAGTGGTCCTTGGTTGAGCACAGTTGTTCCATGTCCTCCCCATAATTCTGGGGGTATATGGGATGTACCTTGCTCACATAGTTGGGGAGTGAGAATGAGTGTTCATAATTCCAGACTGGATGAGTTCTATTTCCTTTGGTTGAGTAAGGCATACACGATCCCATCATTCTGATCTTGGGGGTGTTGCCTTTTGGACTTCTTCAGGTTGAGAGAAAGTTCTTCCAATTCAGTGTTGCTTACTTTCTCATTGTGATTCCGGTGGCTCAGAATGGTTCACTCAATGGCTACAGGTTGGGAACTGCTCGTAAGTGTGTGTGTGTGTCTATATATATATATATATATATATATATAGA